GATAAATCTGTAATGCATAAAAATAGTTGCAAAGACAAAGATATAGATGAATTATAGAATATCATATCTAATAGTATTTTTAGAAGTATATTTGTATTACTACTGAGTTAAAAGGTTGCAGTTTGTAGCATCCTCTCAAAAAAAATAAATAATAGTAATAAAATCCTAAAAGACTTGAGATTTCTAAGAAAAATTTGTTATAAATATACAGAAAAAAAAAGTTTCATAATAAATAAAAAGAAATAACAACTAACTAATTTAGTAATTACTAATTTAAACAACAAGTATGAACTCCAAATAGATAGATTAGTTGAAGAAAAATGATCAAATAAAATAGTAATAGATCTTAAGAAATAGTGAAAAATTCTAAACCTCAAAGTACAACAAGAAAGAAGTATTACTAAAATTTTTTAGAGGCTATATATTAATATATAGCTAATAATCGATATTAATTAATTAAAATAAATTGATATATAATAATAAATTAGTTGTATATCAATTTATATTAATATAAAATAAAAATTGCTAATAATTAATAGCGATAATAATTGTTTTTAATATAAATCAATAATTAAATAGTAATTAAATTGATTAAATATAAATTTTTAAATATTATCAATTAAAAATTAATCAATTAAAATTGATTATACATATAATTTTTTTTTTTTTTTTTTTTTTTTTTAAGGTAAAGTTTTGTCTTTATCTTTATTAAAATTTGGATGAGATTTCCACAAAGGGGTTTCTCAAATTTACAAATTTGTTTACTAGAATAAGACTCAGACTATAAATAGTAAACTATCTAATTTATCTGTAACCTAAACCTACTAGAGTAGTTAAAAACTCATCTAGATTTGAATATTTATAATTGTGTTAGATAGATAACTATACTTATATCAGAAAATCAATTTTAGTGCTGTTCTGTACAGATCTGCAAAAAATTAAATAATAAATTTAATAAAAATCTGTGTAAATCTTTAGGTCTGCTACTGACAGATACAGAAATTAAATGCAATTCTGTACAAATCTGTAAATTTCCAAAATTTTGCAGATTTTTATCAAAAATTTTATAAAAATCTGCACTTTTTTTGTATTTTTACAGATCTGTACAGATTTATACATATTTTACTTTTCAGATGTAGCCCACAAAGTAGACCAAATATTGATTATGTGATGTGCTAGTCCTAGTAGAGGGCATAGGTTATTGTTGTTATATAGTTAGTCAAGTTAACCACATAGATATGTGTAAGTATATTCTATTTTAAAATGATTTAAATGTGTAAGTGTTTTGAGCAAGGAGTTTGTTAAGAATGATTAGGTATTTTGTTTTGAGTCTTTTATTCTGCAACTTTGGTATAGTAAAATTTCCAAATTTGTTCATAGATATTGTTTGAAAGTTTGAGAAAGAATTGGATACTGAGTTTGGTAGCAGTTTTATGAGTATCTGTGTATAATGAGAGTAATTCAATGAGTAAGAATTGTATAAATCCTTGGAGAGTAGTTTCAATTGTTAAATAGTTTTGAAAAGGTTGCTGGTATTAGAAGGATGAAAGAGAGATTAGTTGATTATGTAATTCTAGAGTTGTTTGTGTAGAGAGATCAAGTAGTTTTGTTGTAAAGAATTCTTGAATTATTTGAAGTATTGTAGTATATATAGATTAGTTTTTAGAACAAAAGAGCCAATGTTGGAGCTCCTCCTGGTTACCACAGAAGAGGCAGTTATTGTGTATAAATATGTTAGGATAAAGTTGATGTAAGTGTGATAGTATTAGGAGTTCATTTAGTAAGTTTTTAATATAGAAAGATTTTTGGTGGCTAAGTTGAAAAGTAGTAAAGTTTGATAACCGTTTTTGGTTGTTATTGAGAAAAAGCTATATTGTTTCTAGTTAATATATTTAAAAATGTGTGAGATATTTTGCATTCTTTGTTGAGAAGATTATAGTGCTATGATATGAGAATTGCATATATTTTTGATTAGTTTGCATATAGGTTGTTCAACAGGAAAGTTTTCAAATTGTAAAATATAGTAAGGGTCATAGATATTAGTATGATTTAATTCTAAGAAGGGTAGGAGTAAGTAGTGTTTTGCTAAATAGTCAGCATTATCATTGTATATATTGTTATTGTGAGTCTGAACTTTGTGGAATATAATAGTAATATTAAAAGATTTGATGTAATTAAGTAGGGTAACCCAGATAGGCCAATATTTTAGTGAGAGAGTTTGAGATAAAGTAAATAGTTTTTTAGTAAGTTTGTTGTATTTAAGGATAATAGATAAAGAATCAGTAAATATTTGAATTTGGCTATTGTGAAAGCAAGTAGATATAGCTGATAGTATAGATATTAGTTCAGCTTTATATGAGAATGGCCAAAGTTAAATTTGTGCTGAGAATTTGTGAAGGATCTGATCATTGTGAATCTGAACTCATCCTATACTATAAAGTATTAATCAGTGCAAATATTAACAACAGATCTATCTGTATAAAAAATAAATTGTTGTTGTGAACAGTTGGTTTGGTAAATTAGTTTAAGTTGTTGGGTAGTATCATTTGATTTGAAGATTGTAGAAACTGCAGATAGACTTAGTTGTAATGTTGGAAGTGGAAGAATAATAGATAGGTTACGAAGTGCAATAGAGTATAACAAATCTAAATAATTAGTATTAAGCTTGAGTTTGTTTGATAAGTCTTGATATGTTTTGCATCCTAGAAATTTTGTAGAGAGGGTAGCTAAGACTTCTAGAGTACAGGAGTTAGTAACTCTTTTAGAGTTTAGATTGTAGCCTGAGCAGGGGAAACATATTAAATCTGAGTAGAGATATAGATCAGTAGTATTAAAAGTAGGTTGTAGTATCTAGTAAGTTATTGATATAGTATTCCTCTCTGGATATGATCATTAGGCTTTGCCTATAATAATTTTTGATGAGAGTAATAAATAGGTTATTAGCTAAGGTTTAGCTCTTGTATTGAAGTGACTAGTTGTATAAGCTAAAGAATTGTTTAGAAGTAGTTGAAGTTGGCTTGAGATAGTTCTAGTAGAAGAGTTATCAAGTATAATAGATTCTAAAGTAGTAAACTATGTAGGTTTGTAGCCTTTAAGTAAGTAGTTTAATTTTGGTGAAATATGAGTTCACTCTAAGAGTATGTTATTGTCAGCAGAGGTTAGTTGTTCCAAAAATAGGATTTGCTTAGTTCGTAGTTGATGTTTGAAAGAGTTATATAAATTATTATGTTGGAAGATTTTTTCTAATAGGTATATAGATCAGAGCAAGTAATTGGTTATTGGATTACTTCTTAATTAGTAATGTGTTGTTAAAGATAATAAAATATGAAAATTTTTTAATTTTAAAATTTTACAGTATAGCTTAGTAAATAAACTGAGTATTGAATTTTTTGTGTAAATGTCATATGTCGGAACGATTAATAATCCAAATTCCAAATAAACAGAATTTTAAAACGTACCGAGTTGTTAAAGAGTTCAAATTCAACTTATTACAATAAAATTAAATGAATTCTAAATTATTTTATCGAGTTGGATTTAAGTCGCTTTAAAATAAAATTATTTTCATAACGCATTGCAAATTAAATTTATTAAATTAAGATAGTTACATAATGTTTTTATATCTATAATCACGATGCTGCTGTATTTAAATTACTAATAAATAAATATGTTTTTTTTGCCAAATAACGATCTTTCGTCTTTACATGCAATAAAGGTTTTACGTCGTCTATTAGCCTATTTTCTGTCCAAAATATTTAGAATCAACTTATTTAATTTGCTTTTAAATTTCGGGCTATACTACTGCATCTTTTTACTAAAACGCATTGTTATTTGATGATAAGTACCTTAAGTTGAGTAATAATAAAAAGACTAACTATTCCAGAATTTTGCTTAAAGGGTAAATTTATAAACAAAATTCCAAGTTACAAATAATTTTTAAAAACTATTATTTCTGATTAGTGATCTAGGGGTAGCGATACATTGCACTATTTCTTTTGTTTTTTCAATAAATTCTACAAACAATACTAAATTTCAACACATAAGAGAAATATAACAATGAAAAGCAAAAGAATTTTAGCTAATTAGAAAAATGGTTATTGCCACAATAAAATCTCAAATTAGTAATAAAAAAAAAAATAATTGGAACTTTGCCTTTATTATGATTCTATAGAATATAATAATTACTATGTTCTATAAAGTCATTTATCAATACAAAGATCCTAGATGTTAAAAAAAGAAGGCTTCCTTTAATATTCAAAATATGAATTTATTTAAATGTATAAAAATGTTCATAAATAATAAAATATAGATAGCATAATTTTATAGTAATTTGTAAATGTTCAAAATATATGCTAATCAAATGGGCTAGGTGCTGGAAAAAGGGCCGAAATGACAAAAAAAAGGTCTTCAGAAAATCAATTTTTTATATTATAAATCTTATAATAAATCATAAGAAAATAAAAACTTTAAAGAGCTATACAGCAAAATTTTATCAATACAACTACTTTTGTATTTTAAGTGAAAAATAATCCTAATTTAATTCTAAATTGATTTATGTATATATATAAAAAAAAAAAAAAAAAAAAAAAAAAACTTATTTGAAAAATTGTCATTTTCGGCCCTTTTTCCAGCACCTAGCCCAAATGATTATAAAATATACCTATGTTGCAAGAGATCCTAATTTGTTAATTTATTTGTGAACAACCTTTTGTTTTTTCTACGAAAAAACTATAAGCGCACCTTACGCGCACTTTTCCTTGCGATTCGGGTTAACCATTCTCTTTCAACGCATACTTCTTTAATATATTTAGAGAGATCTAAATGATTATCAGTTTATTGACTACAACAAATTATGGCTTTAATTTTTATCATACTGTTTCCAGAATTCTTAAATTTGTTGTTTTATTTGAATCCAAAAACTTTATTAACTCATTATACCGTTTTTCAACTTTCATTATTCTAACCAAATGATGAAAATCTTAATTTGTCATTTTTAGATAATTTCAGTTTGCTAAAAAATTTTTATTATACTCTTCCCAGAATCTTTGTAAATATTCTCTAAAGTTAATTGTTCCTTTAAGAACCTTTGAAACAAAAATTTCATTATGGATATTTCTTAACACATTAGACCATTCATCTTTATGTTTTTCATCATTTTCAGACGATAGTTTCTTTTCATATCGATTAATCTTAGTTTTTCCTATTTTAGATGTAGATGATGCAGTTTTAGCATTAACGACTAAACTTTCAGTATATGGTAATTTATATAACATCGGGAGTTTGAACAAAATTGGTAAATAATGTTCAAATAATGTTTTAAGTATATCTTCGTGTGTCGCTTGAGAAATAATATCCAAATGCGAAGGTTTAAAAAAATTTTTAACATTACAATAAATCTTAAAGATATCGCATTCATTTTTGAACTTGTCTTGTGTTAAATCAATTTGAACTTGATTATTTTGATCTTGTTTATAATATTCGTCTACACTTATTCTAGTTTTTAGAATGTCTTCAAAACACCTTAAAGTAATTTTAGAATCTTCTTCAAACTTATTCAAACACCAATTATAAAACAGAGCTGAGAACTCTAATGGTTTGAATGGGCCATCATTGTTATCTCGAGTGTCGTTGTTTGATTTATCCATTGCTTCCAAGAATGTTGTCTCCGTTTCCTCTCGATTTTTGTCAATTGCACCATACAAAAATTCAAAACAATCTATTCCTTTTAATTTTCGACTAGATTTTAAAACTTCGATCAAACATTTAAATACAAGTTCTTCTTTTTTATCATTTCTAGCTGTTACAAATGCATCAATTAATGTATTTCCAATAGTAGGTAATCTTTGTTCAAAGAGTTGTATAATATCTCCAATAATGGTATAACTTAAATCAAATCCAATATCTATTAACTCTTCAAGTCGATCGGTAACTTCCTTAATAGTTGGTTCATTCCAATTTTCTGGTGGAGTAGGTGGATATAAAATTAGAACAGCTCCTTGCATTACCAAATCATTAACATCTTTGCAAATTCCATAATAACCAATTTCTTTCCAATAAGAAACCAATTCCTTACAAATCAATATTGCTCTTGCAATAATATTTAGTTGCCTATTATTTTCAAATCCATCTTTTGCGGGATATTCTTCTATAGCTGTGCCAGTTTGTACCTGAAAACGTTTAGGTCGTGGAGGGAATGGAATAAACTTTCTTTCCAATATTAAATTTTTAATATCTTCCTTATTCTTTTCTAAAATATCTCTTGCGTCACTAATTACATCCGGTCCAAATATCAAAAGAAATATTATTATGAGTTTCAGCGTAAACCTGACATATAGATATTCCAAGATGATCTTGCTATTTACAAAATTAAATAAAATTAAAAGATTATAGATTTATGATTTTGATAGCTAATGAAAAAAAAAGATTGGATCTTACATTCACAGATATCATTTCTTTATTTATTAATAATAATTCTTTTGCTTTTTGTGCATACCGATCATTACTAGTGAGCTACAGTATAATTTAAAATTATCATTTTTTTATTATCATTTTTTAAATCTGTAGAATCATAAAAAAAATTTCTATCGAATTTGATCACATATCTTTATTCAAAGTTTTAAAATATTCTATTAAGCTTATTTTGATAGATGTTTATTATGAGAAATGACTTCTCGATTCAATTTTGATGAAAAATTTTTTAAAAGAAACAAATTTATTTATTTGGTTTAAATTTATATTTTTTAAATTTTAAATTTTTAAATTTATAACTTTTTTATTTTTTTAAAGATTTAAATTATTTTTTTTTTATTAAACTAAAATTTCTAAAATTTTTATTTTAAATTCTATTTTATTAAAATGCACCATAACTAAACATTATTCCTTAAACTGTCTAGTGTGCAAATTTGGATGTTAAAATTTATCTTGATCTATTTTCATCCATTTACTCTAAATTTTATTAAGTTAGACCTCTCTATTTTCAAGTAGAATAGTCATGTCAGAAAAATGTTGCACTCACATGACTTTCGACCTCTTCCGGCCTTTGATATAGACTGCTCGATGTTACAACTGAT